AAATAAATAAATAAAAATAAATAAATAAAAGGAGAAATATGAATCCTAGGTGTTTGATCTAATTTTGTCTTGTGGGAGGGCCTTCTCTGTAGCTGCTCCGGCCCTATGGAACGATCTACCCCCTGAGATCCGGACCCTCCCCACTCTCGCGGCCTTCAAAAAGTCTATTAAGACCTGGCTTTTCTGGCAGGCCTGGGGCTATTGACCTCTTGAAGGAGGTCCAGCCCCACTACGGTTGAGTGTGTGTTGTGTTTTAACCTGTTTTTGTCTTATTACTTTTTAAACTTTTTAGTACTTCTTAAATTGTCTTTTATGTAAGCTGCCCGGACTCCTTCGGGATTGGGCAGCATATAAATTTATTAAAGTTAACTTTTGTTTCTTGCTTATCTTAATTTCTGTCTGACCCACTCTTTTTGAACGGATTACCAAATCTGCATTTCTAAAAGCTGGCCTCTTCAGTTTCTGCCTGGACCAGGGATATTGTGTCTGGTTTCTGCCTCCCTTAAGATTTTTTCATTTCTCCTTTAGGGGAAATATTATGCTTTTTTAATATCTCCCCAAATATTTCATTCTTCTGGGGAATGGGACTTCCCACACATGCAATCTATGTATATATTGCAATAAATGTAAATATACATGTATGATTCCACACATCAGCCACTAACTATTTTTCACTCCTCTTACAAATGGGGATTCAGGGAAAGGAGAAATATTTAGACATTAACACTATAAACATGAAGTAAGACAATAGATATTCAGTTATTCATAACAGCAAGCATTAATACATCTAAACCTTCCGTTTCTAAAACTGATCCATTGTATTTATAACATTTTGGCATTCTCAATATTAGCTTCCCAAAGCCATTGATTGGTTATGAATCTCGTCTCTCTTTCTCTTCGTTCTGTGTATATGTGCACACAAATGTACCCCAGATGCTCTCTTTCATTAATAAGCTTTTAAACAGAAACAATTCATCCAGGAGTTTCTATTAGTTTGGAAATTTAACAAAGCATCATTTTATATTGAATAAACCTTTTTCTTCTTGTAATCTAATGACTGATCCTGTACTTGTTCTTACAATGTGGGCCAGTCACTATTCCTTTAACACAACTTATTTTACTAGGTTGTTGTTATAAAGGAAAAATAAGGGTAGACCTCTGTGTCAGCTTAAACTCTTAGATAATGTTTTAAATAAATAAGGACAATAAATACACTTATTTACTTGTGGGAATGTGGGACCCCACTACCAATTGTAATATGCAGAAATGTTATTTATGAAATTGCACGCAACCTAGACTTGAGTTCAGTTACTTCCTAAGCAAGCTAATGGGCTGCTTTTTCTTGGAGAAAGGATTAATATTATGATAAGATCAGGATACGATAATATTTTTGCCATATGACTTTAAACTATTCTGGAGATCTGTTTCCCTCTAGCAATGTTATGAAATCAAGTTAACTGAATCATGCTTTGTTCTAGCCTCACATGCATATTTGCTTTGGCAATTTGTGATTTGATTCAAAGCATCAGATTGACTCAGATGCTTCCAGATTGGTTCGTATGATTGCATGTACCAGTGGTGGGTTTCAAATTTTTTTAGAACCTCTTCTGTAGGTGTGGCCTGCTTTATGGGAGTGGCTTGCCAGCCATGTGACTGGGTGGGAGCGGCTTGGCAGCCATGTGACCGGGTGGGAGTGGCTTGGCAGCCATGTGACCGGGTGAGCATGGCCAACTTGTAAAATGTGGAGAAACTCGCTTAACAACGCTCTTGCTTAGCAACCAAAATGTTGGCTCAGAAACTCTGGCATTTGAAGCACGCAAGTCTTAAAGCTGTCAAGTTACAACACCCCAGGGTTTTTTCCTAAAGGGTTAGGGGTGCAAGGGTCTTGTAAT